CCCCAAAACCCCAAAACCCCAAAACCCCAAAACCCCAAAACCCCAAAACCCCAAAACCCCACTGGTGATAGATCAAATTGAAATTCTTATCAAGACTATGATTTAATAATATCCTTGTACTTGCCCAAAATTTTCTTAAATCTATAGTCCTTGTCCCCTCTAATTCTTAGGTCTTCAGCCTCAAGATTGATCTCAAATGAAGGAATATCGCCAACATCTACTTTGTTTTGATACTCTTCATTATCTACTATTTCCATCTGATTGGAGTTCAGCTCTGTGTAATTGTACCTCATCTTTACGACATATTCAGTCGTGTTTTTAACAATAGTGTCTAATTCAAGCTCTTTAGAGGCTTCAAAGTCATCATCATTCTCAAAAAACCCTGTCTCAGCAATAGGGTTTATAGGGGTAATAAAATCAGCTCCATATCCTAATCTTCTGATCACACATCCAGCTCTTTGTTCCATATATGAAGTGAGTTCTGGGCTAAACCACTCAAAGCTGTATCCTGGCTTATTCTGGCTGTAATAGTTTTCATTATCCTCAGCTGTTTCCTTCTCAATCAAAGTCTTTATCAAAGTTTTTGAAAGTGATCTTGTGTTTAATAGGAATTTAAACACAGAGGTTAGTACATTTTTTGGATTTTTTAAAAGATCCTCATATCTAACAATATATGTCGGAACCACAGGCTCAAGCATCCAATAATCATGAAACTGTTTCCAGATATCTATCTCATTCTTGACAAATTCTGTCCAGCAATCATTCAAGTCTTCCATCTTCTCACTTGAGAGCTTCTTGTTAATATCTTTTGTGCAAAGCTTATTGAAAAGTGAGAAAATCGCATCACAAGGATTCCTAGTAACTACTATGGCTTTATTAATAAATAATCTTGCAACTCCTATCTCTTCAGGGAAATTTGTTTGGGCTATCCAGACTTTTGTCCCTAGGATTCCTTCTCCGAGAAGTTTGGATTCTTCCTTCAACTGTCTATCAAGCTTTGAATGAGTGTCACCATCTGACCCTGTAAGGATACAGGTGATGTTCTCAATGTATTTCCTCAGCAGAGTACTCCCTGAAGACTGATAACTAGGCATAGCCACCTTCTCAAAGACGTTCTTAGATAAGAACTTGGGAGAGTTAAGATATTTAGGAGCTTCGTTTGATTTTTCAAGATAAGTTTCGTATGTTATAACTCTTTTGGGCTTAAATATATAATCTTCTCTTGTTTTTCCATCTTTAGTCTGGATAGCAGTGGCATACTTAGAATTCTTTGATCCACAAGATGAACTATCATCACTTCTGTCGTCACCTCCTGGCACTAATAAGTCAGTGCCTTTTCCTTTTCCTTTTTCTTTTCTCTATATCACCAATTTAGCTTAAAAGATATCTTAAACAATAAACATTTAGAGCTCTTAATGATCAAGCAAGGTTGAAACATACATTTTTTTCCTTTGAGCGAAAATCTTCTGATGCAAGATAATTCAAAGGTGGGGCCTCATCTGGGCTCTCAAATCCATCATCTTTCTCCATTTTATTTTGCGATTTGTGCTGAATTTTTACAATAATAATTCTCTCAAATGGGGTTTTGGGGTTTTGGGGTTTTGGGGTTTTGGGGTTTTGGGG